CAGATTCCTGACTAAGCTGCCTATGAGAATTTTCTGAACCATCCGGCGCTTGAGACCTCAGCTTGTTCATGACGGCAATCCTCGCCCTGACGGAAGACAGAAGACCTTCAGTATCCCGTTCTATTAACTTCTTGCGTCCCTTCTCCCCTCTCTGAGTATCGCCGACCCTCCCTATCATTTTGGACACAAATAGGGCTATAAATCTTTGATAAGACAACAGCTGCTGGTAATAATAGCTGCACTTTTGTGTTGCTAAGTTGAGATGAGTGCAGGACATTTTCCCATGAAGTTCTCCTCTGAGAGAGGTCACGGTGAGATATACCCGTCAACCATTCTCTGCTTGAAAAGGCCTCCTTCGTATAAAGATCAGGGAGCAGAGGCTTTTTCCCTAAAGCCCTCCATCCGAGTGCCAGCGCTGTTGGCCGACAGCGGTCCGCGCCGTTGTGTTCAGCACGTTCAAGGATAATTTCAGGGGAAGCAGGATGAATGTGAAGATGCGCTCTGTTTGCATCGGTTCGTTGCCGCATCTTGCGGTCGACTTTTCATTTTTCGCCTCGGCAAGAATCAGCTAAATGAAATATCTCAAGAATCTAAAAGAGAAGCATTTGGACCCCTAGAGTCCAGGTACAGTATGCACTAAATAAACTTTTTCAGGCATATTGCAACGAAGTAGAATATTGTTAAAAGGTCCATTTATTCCAATAATTCAAGACAAGAAGTGATGTTTTCATGTATATTCAAACTGCAGTTTAAACAGGTATACAACATGTCTGCACAATATGTCATATCACAATTTTGCTTGGATTCAATATTTGACCAGTTTATAAATCAATTCCCAATAACGCATCTGCCTCTTCATGACCAAGATGAAGAGTAGAACAGTGATTGTGGAGTTATGGTTCAATCAATATCACTGCATTACTCTACAACTTTGTTGTCATTTTAAGTTTTCCTAAAATGATACAGCTACAGTAAAATAACTCACTGACACCATCTACAATCAAAAAATTGAACAATACATATAACTATAGGTGTGCGTATTGTGATTTATATTCTTGTACATTTTTTCCCTCCACTTAACTTTCCAATTTATAACAATAGGCACTCTGCACAGGTCTTCACCATTAAAGTGTAGGCCATATACAGTCATAGAATAACATTTCTGTGCCCAAAAAAAAAAAATTAATAAATAAATCTATTGGTCTATATAAATTCCAGTTGATCCTGTATGTGTGTGTGGGTGGGGGGGGGGGCTTATTTGTACATTTTCATCAGCCATAAGTAACCATAATCAAAAATGTTTCACTTTCTGAGAAGAAAAATGTTTTTGTTTTTTTATAACATCCCGATTCGTTGAAATTCTGGTATCTCTGCCGTTTTTCTTTTTTTCAAAAAAATCTCTGTGAGATATTGTGAGATATCTCTCTGAGATATTGGTGCAGAGAACCACTTTAAACGTACAAAACCAGTAGTTTCAAAGAAGCCAAAGGCGGCGGGGGGAAAGCCAATTCATGACTCAAATCAGCAAAATACCGCACACGCCGACGCAAAAACGGCGACGCGTTCGGTGTTCCCAATAATCTGTCCTTCGACCATCATCAACCGCCCCCTCTCCTCTCCCTCCTCTCCTCCTATCTCTCTGCGTCCCGCCGCTTCTCTTCACTCTTCGCGGTGGTTCCGGTGCCAGGACTTATCGTCGCGCACACCGAGCGCACGGTTCCCTTTTTGCCCCCCTCTTTCCTCCCACAACCGGCGTTGCTTCACGATTTCAACCTCCTAGATCGGGACTTTTTTTTTTTTTTTTTTTTTTTGGGGGGGGGGGGGGGGGGGGGGGAACCATACTTAAAAAAAAAAAAAAAAAAAAAAAAAAAAAAAGAAAAAAATAAAAAAAAAAA